TATATTATATATATATATATATATATTATATATATAATAGGTACATACTATACATATGTATTGCTTCGGAGGACTACTGAGATAACGGTGGGCACTACTTGCCCAAATTCTGAGACATCATGGGCAACTCATGGTAAATGTAACCGGGTCGTTTCGAGACGTTCATGATGCACATTGGTCTTCTGGTGAGCCAAACACCAAGGCCCTGAGTCCCAATACCCAGACCCCAAGCCACTGGATCCTGAACCTTGAACCCTAAACCAGACCCCAACATCCAAAGGCTCGCAGACACCTCCAAAGCGGGGCAACGACTCCTGAGGCCAAATGCCCCAAGTCTGTTTAGGATTCATTCGTTTGCGGCAGGGCTGTTGGTCAGTATGAGGAGTTCCGCCCACCGTACAAGTCAAAACCTTCAACAGCCGCAGTCGCAGGCGTTTATTCAATCCGATTCCAAGAGGAGAGTGGGTTTCCTTCTATGACGAGTGAAGATGTTGGGCCACAGTGTAAGGATTTTCTTGGCCAACCATGATCTGGCACCATCATGCCGACAGCAGCTAGGGTTACAGGCGAAAAGTACAGACCCATATTGGACAAGTTGTAAAACTTGCTTTTTGTAGCCCCTGTTATTATGGGCCGAAATCGAAGGTTAAGCGACGTAATGAAGAACACAAGACCAAGGACACCTGAGACGACGATATAATGGAACAGCCCCAGATCTGCATCAGCTGCACGGCACTGGTAGGGTATGTGCAACGTCTCTTCCCAACAGGTTTTCCTAAACCCAAAGCTGGTTTGCAGTCCATGACTTCGTCGTGGCAGGTGCTTGCGGCTGTTGCAGAGGTCGCAGGAAGAGATGCTTGCGAGGCAGCAACCTCGGGCTTAGAGGGCCTAGGGCAGATCAGAGCTGTGGATTCACGGTGTGCGGCCACCCAAGGCGTGCTAGGGCGTTTCGCTAGGTGGTGCAATGCAATGCAGGGAGTGTCAGTGTGCTTAACTTTAGCGGTCCGGTTCACGGCGTGGGCATGTGAATCTGCACAGAAGGGTTTTGGTGAGTGCAGAAGAGGCGAAAAGGGGGTCCCGGGTCCTGGAGAAGATGGTGAGTGCACATGGAGGCACTAGCCTTCATATGGAGATTTCATGAGATTTCAGTCATTTTGAACGTACATAGCTTGAATTAGGACCGCTAGCTTTTGACGGCGAACTATCGCTTCCTCGCTTTAAAGTAGCAGCCTAAAGCCGAAACCAGATATCTTCGAATGAAGCTGCAACACCTCTCCAAGGCTGGAACGCCGGATGAGACAGACGCTTCTATTTCTATTGGTGCTAGCATGATAACTGCCCTCAGCAAGATGACGGGGAAGATGATGAGGACTAGCTATACCTATACTTATTACCCCAATTAAGGGCCTACCTCCCTTCCTGCCTACCTACCTACCCACCTACCCCCATGATCCTCCAAGCCCTAAACCCTAAAACCCTAAACCCTGAACCCTGAACCCTAAACCCTAAACCTTACTTACTAAGTCCCATGATCCTCCAAGTACCCTAAAACCCCCCACGCAAAGCTTGTGAAAAATCCAGCCCCGACGCAAAACTGTCAAGGCTGTCCTGTCGACGTTACGTCGCGGACCGCTTCCGCTTACCGAAGCTCTGGCCGTGCCCCTGACAAGGCCATGTTTGACCCAAACCCCCCAGGTACCTACTATGTAGGGCACTAGGGCCCCTAAGGCCCTATATAGTAGGTACCTGGAGGGTTAGGGTGAGATGAGCCTTAGATTCCTGAGAGGGCTCTATTCAGGGGTTTCTAAGAGGGCTCTATTAAGGCATCTATCACAGGGGTTTTATAAGGGTTCCACAACAGGTTCTATGGGGTTTCTAAGAGGGCTCTATTAAGGCATCTATTCGGGGGTTTTTATAAGGGTTCCACAACAGGTTCTATGGGGTTTCTAAGGGGGCTCTGTTAAGGCATCCATTACATGGTTTTATATGGGTTCCACAATAGGTTCTGTAGGGTTTCTAAGAGGGCTCTGGGCACTTTTGGCGTTGAGCTGGCGGCTGCATGCAGGGCTGCAGTGCACGGGTCGCACCACCGACTGCTCCAAACCACGATCCCGTTTATTCTAGGAAATTTTCAGATGGGCAGTTACCGTTATAGGAGCTTTATAGAAGGTCTATAAGCCCTTTATACCCTAAACTCCCCACCTGTAGCTTCCTTTAATTTATGGCCCTCACTCTCAGAGGTGCTCCCTACAGAGTTTAAGGGGAACGCAACAACTGGAGGGTCAGCTGAAGAGTTGGAGGTTAGTGAAGAGTTGCAGGAGCAGGCTGCACATAGCACCACTACCCAAAGAATCTAAGTACCAAGATTACAGCTGCGCCGGCACGGATCTACATCGTAACGTCTTTTGACATCCAGAAATGCGTTCTGCAGTCCAAGAACCTATGAACCACACACCTGGGTAGTTGTCAAAATTGTGGTCCCTTTTGGGGTACCCTAAATAATAGATGCCGTATTATAATCTTAGTTCCCCAATACCCAACCTTTAAACTTTTTGGGTTCTTATAATTTAGTAGTAACCGTAAAGTTTAACCTTTTATTTCCCTGGCCTATTGGGGCAGTAAGTAATAAGGACCCAAAAAGGGGCCCTAATTTTGACAACCACACACCTTGATCTACACAGAGCCCTCATCCCTCAGAAGCAAAGTCTGAGAGTGCTGGGAAGTTTTGCAATAGTGTCCATGACAGGCCTAGTCATTTGGGGGCTCCTTGAAATAATTGCAGTATAATATACCCCCAAAGCCCTATTCGAATTATTTTGGCCCCTACATTGTCATGCATGATATGACGGCCCAAAGCTCAGAACCAGATCAAGCAGCTCCGGAAGGAGCGGTCGCGAGCGTGTGGCTCTGCAGCTTGCTCCATGGACGTCCGACGTTGCCAGCTTCGTCGGGGCCCCGATTCCGATTTTTCAACTTCACCCAAAAAAATGTTCAAGTGCCAAAAAAGTAGTTGCTTTGGTCCTGAGAGCCCACACTAAACTGGCATCTAGGCCCTCGGGGTCAAAGTGGTTCAAGTCACTTGCATTGCAATTATATGCGTCGTCGTTTCATGTTGTTTCGCATTGGGAGATCTTGGCACTGTTCCTAGGCGATGCCAGGGTTTAGGGTTTAGGCTTTAGGGTTTAGGGTTTAGGGTTTGGCTTGCAGATTACAAACGGTTGCCGATGGATTCAGCATGATTCAGCTGTTTGTTGATGCGACGATCCTAAACCCTAACCCTAAAGTTCTTGCAGGTGAAAGAGCACACTGGCTGGTAAGACAAGCTTCAACTGAACTTGCCGAATCCTTCGATCAAAGCTTTAGGGTTTCGTATTTCGGGTTGGGAGTCTGTTGGGGCTTTGGGTCAGAGGGCTGCCCCTAAACCATGAACTCAATACTCCGGCAGGACATCGTCCAACACGAGATACCTATAGTCTGCATGCTAGTTCCTCCTTGGGGTTACCTTTTCGGATCCGAATTATACAATTGGTTAAACCAAAAAATGGAACCACAATGGGGACCGTAGGTAGCATGAGTATGCTGTAGGACTCACCCGAAGCCCCTTCATCAAATGACCGGGCTGCAGCAGGAACTGGCCCTCTCCAAACATCTTCCTTGCAGCCCGAGCTTCCGCACACGCCTGGCGGGACGCTGCCTTGAGAAATTCGGGGGCGTGCTTTCGATGTGGGGGTGTCAGAAAATAGGGGACCCTAATATAGTACCCTAAATAGTAGGATCCTTATTATAAGGACCCCAGAATAAGGTACCCCTTGTTTTCAGAAACTCCCATGTCCTTGTGACCATCATGACAGCAGCCGGCTTCGGGATTCAATCCGGAATCATCAAGCTCTGTTCAGGATCTGTTTTAGCTGATCCTCTCTCAAGATCGCAGGAGAAACGCAGGCATTCATAGCCTTTTGCTGCTAGGTTTGGGCTCTTGTTCCAGTGTCGATACGGGGCTTTGGTTGTGTGGTCTGCTGCTGACAATGCCGGGCTCACGAAGCACTTGATAAAATGCTTGCGATACCGCATGCCAGGATTCAGCAGATTTGGAACCAGGTCTACAACTTGAGTTTTAGCATCATTAGCAAGAGTTGGAGGCTTCGGCAGGTGAGTATAGTCCGAAGTCCCTTCGTGATAAGTTCCTTGAATACCCTGCCTTCGGCGGCTGCTCGTCTTCAGTCGCCACATAGGAGATTCCGAAAATGAGGGGTACCTTATTTTGGGGGTCCTTATAATAAGGATCCTACTATTTAGGGTACTATATTAGGGTCCCCTATTTTCGGAAACCCCCACATGACACATGATTCCTTCTGCCAATGTAGAGCACCGAGCGAGCCTAGGCTATCCCCGCTTCTGGCGAAGGTGGCTGAGACGAATCTGCTGGTGCAGCGCTGGCTGAAAAAAGGAGCAGGGAATGCTACAGCCGAAGCAACAACCACAGGCACTGTGCCAGTCTATCAGTCTGTTGTTGTTTTTTTGTCTACCCCCTCCCTAAACCCTAAACCCTAAATTCTTCCCTCCTGGAGTGGGAGCTATAGGCAGGTGGATGGAGGGGCCGGGAGGGAAGACTGCGGAGAATAAGACAGGCAGAGAGGCGGAGAGAGGTAGAACCGAAAACCTCGTGGCATACCTCCAACGTCTTCCCATAGACGGAGATAACTTCTCTTGCTAAGGATTCGACATATCACCCTAAACCATATAAGACGTTAAATGCTACAACCTGAAGCTCTTCTTCTAGCTCTTCTCCCTCCGCCGAAGTCCTCGTTTGAGTCTGTCAAACTCAAGTGACAACCTTCAGCTGAGAAGAACAGTCAGTTCTGTGATGGTAAGATGTGTGGTTGCTCAGCGGGTTCGAGCGTTTGGGGTTTCGGGCTTCGGGTTACCTTTACCCGGTATCCTGGACCCTAAACCCAACACCCATGCCCTTGACCGTAATAGCCCTGTATGGCACTTCGCAGGCGTCCTGGAGGTCCTTCGAATTCAGCTCTTTGAGGTTCTTCCGATCAGTGCCCACGATGATTTCGGGTTTGCGCTGCGGTTTTGGGCCTTGGGTTTTGGATTTAGGGCATGTAGTGAGAAGGTTTAGGGCCTCGGTTGAGGGTTTAAGAGTTCGGTGTTTTTGGTCTTCATTTCTGAGCTCCTGTGATCTGAAGATTTGCGCTTTCGCAGACCGGGCTAAACCCTAAACCCTAAACCCTAAACCCATTACACATGTCCATGTGGTTGGTCGTGCACCGCCGTTCCCACAACTCCGACCTTCCCCTAAAACCTCTACTTAAAGGACCATGGGACTTAGTAAGTAGGTTTAAAAAAAGGCAACTATACTTACAACCCCCATTAAGGGACTTATAACCTTACTTACTAAGTTCCATGATTCTCCTAGGGCTTCTTGCGATGCCAAGCGGGTAATCTCTCTTTACCCGCGAAACCTGGACCCTTAAACCCTCAGCCCCAGAACCGTAAGCTTTAGCAGACCACTATGCCCTGAGCCCCGGGCTTGCGAAGCAAAAAACCCTACATGATTTCAAACCCATAAACGTTTAGCCGCCAACATTTAAAGCTCGGGACCATGCAACTTTATAAACATTCGAAAAACGCAGAACGTGTAATTCCCCAAGACCCCAATACCCTCAACCCCAAATCCCAAAACCCTCAAGCCTTAAACTCATGAGACCCCTACAATCTCGACCTACCCATCCCCCCCACGCCTCCCTTCTCCTGTCTGGTGCTTAGAAGGGAATGGGGGAATGGATCCCTATGGTAGTCCCTTAAGGTCCCTTCTAGTAGTCCCTATACCCTAAACCCTAAACCCTTAAGGTCCCTTCTAGTAGTCCCTATAACCCTAAACCCTAAACCCTTAAGGTCCCTTATAGTAGTACCTATAGCCCATTCCCCCATTCCCTACTAAGCACCAGACAGACCCTAAACCCCAAACCCTAAGCTTCCAGGTACGATTCGAGTGACACTCTGGTACTCCCCCCAGGAGGACCATGGAAGCAACTCTCTCTCGCTCGGAGGGTTTAGGGTTTTAGGGTTTAGGGTTTAAGGTTTCAGGGTTTAGGGTTTAGGGTTTCAGGGTTTAGGGTTTAGGGTTTAAGGTTTAGGGTTTCAGGGTTTTGGGTTTCAGGGTTTAGGGAGGGTTTAGGGCCCAAAGAATGCAAAGCTCTCATGGCAGGATGGGAAGATGGTTCTGGACAAAGCTGCCGAGAAGTGCTTCAAACAGGCAAGCAAAGTCCTGGGTGGAGTTTTGTTAAGGTACTTAAAGGATCATGGGACTTAGTAAGTAGGGTTATAATTAGGGTAATCATACTTTTAACCCCAATTAAGGGACTTGTAACCTTACTTACTAAGTCCCATGAACCTCCAAGTAGTTCCAGTTGGAGCCAGTGGCACCTCACTTCTCAGACCTTGCCAGATTCCTCGCACGGGTACTGGGGCTCTTTGGCTGTCGTTTGGGTACGGCTTCAGCCTTGTCTTCATCACGGAAGGCCGGCTACCGATGGTTCCAGCTCGCCAACAGTTCAGATGGCCGGAGGGGACAGGTCATGTGCCAGAAGCGAAACCAGGACCCGGTGTTTCTGGGGTGCTCTGGGATTCGACAAGGGTGTTGTTGTATGGCTCTGAGTAATTTTATAGTGTTTTATGCGGTTCTGTGCAAGAGAGACCTACGAAAGTCTGCGTTTGGGGGGGCGGGGGGGCGAGGGGGCACGTGTGATTCTTGAACAGGGCAAGTGGGTCAGCTCGTGTGCCTGTATGGCATGATTGAGAGAATTTGACTTTCACCTCAAGTCGCCCGAAAACGCACGTGGTGACAGGCGCAGCTAAATATGCATGTGTATATATATATATAATACAATATGCATATATTCAGGCACAAACAGACACACACACACACACTCTCTCTCTCTCTCATCCATGCGGAGAAGAACCCTTGTCCCCTCACTCCAGCTTACATGACATCGAGATAGACATTAATAAGCCTTTCCTCCTAACTGGCTCTAGCCTTTTCGCTCAGAAGTATGTAAGTAGGTCTTGCGTAATTATCAAAGTTCAGATGCAGGGCTTTTGGATGTTAATCCGCGGGTTCTGAGGTCATCGATGTCGGAAGGAAAGCTACCGTCCAAGTGGGCCGATACCGTGAGAATGTAAGCAACTACAAACTTCGAAGCTCTGCCCTCTGAGCCGTTTTTACCGTCTTTAAACTGAGTAGACGAGTATTGAAGTTCAGCTTCAAGTGTAGAAGTGAGCAAGGAGCCAGCACGCCTGAAACCTCGTAATTAGCCTTTCAAGGCCCCATTACCCGGCCCTAAACCCGAAAAGCACCTATTATAAACCCCAAACCCTACACCCTCGCGCCCTTCCTGCCATTCCAGCTTCGAAGGAGCGCGATGCTCGCGCCCCTGCAGACCCGGCAGACTTGCGGCTTGCCGAAAACCATGTGAGAGTTAAGGGTTGGGATTTAGGGAGTTGAGTTTTAGGGTTTAGGGTTTAGGGTTTTGGGTTTTAGGGTTTAGGGTTTAGGGTTTAGGGAGTTGAGAGTAGGGCTCATAGCATTTTGTACACATGTTAGCTTCTGGGTGTTACAAAGTTGAGCTTATACTGGAGGGTAGATAAGATACAGTTGTACAGTTCCGGTGTTCGGGTGTAGACGTCTTGACTTGTGCGCAGAAGTTTCCGACAGAGGAGCGGGAACTTACTGTTGCGGCAGGATTCCCGGTATGTTTCAAGCTTCTGCAAATTCTTCGCATGCAACTGAAGGCTCTTGTTGTATCTTTTTCCACTGTTTCATCAGGTACAAGTTGCCAATGAATGGGAGATATTATGGGAGCATAAACAGGGATATCAGTATGGTAACATAGCAAGCTGCCATCATATGATCTCCTACTTAGGTTAAAGCTTCTGAGCAAGAATAGAGGATGGAATTCTGGCTAATTAGCATGGAAAGACTCCCTGCTGCAGGGGTTTACTGTAAAGCCGCCCAGATCATAGCACCCTAAACCCTGAACCCTAAACCCTTTGTAGTTTGTCTTGCAGTAGCCCGACTAGCAGCTCCTCAACCCATAGCAGTCCATGAACCCTAAACCCTAAACCCTAAACCCTAAACCCCTAAACCCTAAACCCTAAACCCTAAAACGCCTCGGGCTCCCGATGCTTCTTAGGAGCCTGTCCAGTTGCCTGCTGGTGTCCCGGCAGCGCCAGGCTGGTTGGGCTTAGGGCTTATAGGGCCTAGGGTTTGAGGGTTTAGGGTTTAGGGCCTTGGATTTAGGGTTTAGGGTTTAGGGCCTTGGGTTTAGGGTTTTGGATTTAGGGCTTAGGGTTTAGGGCTTAGAAATCCACAAAGGAAACCCAAGTTTGTGTTGAGGGCTTCTAGGGATTGGGGCTGGTTAGGGCAAGCACCCCTGAATTGCTACAAAACCCCAAGAGTGATTCTGCTTCTAAGGACTAGCGGTTGCTGTTGGGCCGTTTCGATGGTTGGCCTCCTGCTCTTCGCGCAGTCTTGACAGCGTGGGTTCCTGTTTCGAAGTCTTCGTCGTGGACAGGATATTTCCGTCGGGTGCTTAAGTTCGGTGGCTCTACATCCTAGGCCTACACCTTACCCCGTAAATCCTACGCCATGCACCCCAGACCATCAGCCCAAACCCTCCCTCTCAGTGATCCGTTAATCAAAAACCCGATAACCCAACCTTTTGATTCATTGATCAAGTCCTGTGATTCAAGAGCCCTTGACTCTATGGACCTATAAATTCCTAAGCAACTCGAAGGCCCTTTGCAGCACTTGGTTCTCTTTTTCTCGAGAATGCTCCGGGTTAGCTGGTAAGGTTCCCTCACTTCAAGCACTTCTTGTTGAGGGTTGACATAGGTGATGAGGGTTTCTAGGGTTTAGGGTTTAGGGTTTTATGGGCTACAAAGAGAGGTGCAGGTTCTGCGGCGCCGGGTTTGGTATTGCTGGTATTCCAATAGGTCTAGGAGTTCAGCCGCGCATCTGCGGCGATAGCACCGCGAATCCGACCAGCAGGACGACGGTAGCATAGTCCCCCCCAAACCCTATAAACCCTACAAGCCCCTCACTAAACTACTGTAAGCCCTATATACACATGTAGTATTGTACTATAGTATACTAAGTGTACTATGGTACAAGATGATATAAAAGATCCAAAGCCGCCCAAACTGCTCTGCGCAGATGGTGGAAGAAGTCGGACCAGTGGAGGTTTCAACGGCTCCTGCATGGGAGGGTGTGGTTTACGCCAGGAATCCTTGTAAGCTGCCCACCCGAGTGGTGTTTGTGGCAATGAGGAAATTGAAAAGAAGGGTTCTTGTTAAGGGGTTTAATTCTATAAGGAAGCCATATGTTTTTTACCATTGGCAGCATAAGTTGAATTAAACTCCTTAACAAGAACCCAGAAAGGGATCCGCTATACGGTTTCATGGATTCTGTGCGTCCGGGCGTAGGACTCACAGCGCTGCAGACCGGGTTACAGGCATCAGGGCATCGAGGGTTCTTTGAGGGTTCGGCTTTCGAGGGTTTTCGATGGTTTCGGGTTCGAAACGACGGCCCCAGAGTCTTCTGTTAAAGAGGCTCGAATGCCCGCGCCCCGAGTAGCCTCCGGACTAGCAACTAGGGTTTGGGGTTTAGGGCTTTCAATGTTTTTTTGCTGTCCTGCCAGCGTAGCCAAATAGTTCCATCCAGCTCATCACAGGGCCCCTGTTAATCGGGAACCCTCACTCAAGTGGTATCGGAGCTGCTGCATTGCCCCCGCACAGATTACTTGAAGGGACCCTGGGGGCATTTCAGCAGGCAGGTCAGAGCCGGGCATGCAAGTACCTGTCAACTACTGCTGTTACAACCCCAATTGCAACCAGAAGTGAGTAGATCTCGCATTCCAAGAGCATGCCGGAAACCCGGAAACCTTCAACACCAAAGCTCAGGGTGAGGGCAAGTTGAGGGGTTGAGGGTCTGTATAGTGTTCATACAGCGCACTATGACACCACCACGGACACCCCCACCAAAACGGCTGACCCTAAACCCTAAACCCTAAACCCAAAACGGCTAACCCTAAACCCTAAACCGCTAGAATGGTGGAGAAGCTAGCAGCCTTCCGCCAGGCCCCCTGCAACATCCTCGCGGGGACCTGAGCTCCAAGAGACTGGCCGACTTAGGGACATACTTAAAGGATCATGGGACTTGGTAAGTAAGGTTATAAGTCCCTTAATTGGGGTTATAAGTATAGTTACCCTAATTATAACCCTACTTACTAAGTCCCATGATCCGTTAAGTACGGTGCAGCTTAATAGAGGCGCCTTACTAATTACAAATGCATGTTTTTTTTTGGAGGGGAAGGGGGGTCCTTCTTATAAATATAGTATAGTGGGCCCCAAAACCCTGTTCAAGTTTTAAATTATTTATGCCCCATATTCCGTGTGTCTTTAGTTGGGTGTTGCCGTCTCTCTATCTTCGGCAGACTTTCGCCAGCCAAGCTCGCGGTGCACTGGATGTAAACAAAGCCACATTATCCTTTGTTCGTCGTTGAGTCGTTGAGGATCCAACACCAGCAGGGCAGTATGCCACTATGTTGGTTTCGCATTTGGGCGGCATCCGAAGAGGAGCATCTTGACAATTGCGGCTGCTGCTCACTCTGTGGGGGCATTGTCGCAAACGGCTTTCGATGCCACAGGTAAGAGTCCAAGAGGGTAAGGCTTATGTTATTGACAATTATCATATGCTACCAAAATACACGATAACATACTACTATTACTATGGTATACAACTACAATATACGACAATAAACTTCTATACTAATTCTACTATATTCTATTTTGAACTTCTCCAAGCCCGTGAGCCCAACAAAAACCTGTAACCTGCCTGCCTTCCCTGCACCTCGCTGTGTCTCTCTCTCTCTCTCTCTCTACACATACAGACAGATACAATCAGATAAACCTTTCGCCACAGGTCCTTGCAGAGTGTTTGCGGAGACATTGTGCCGCACCCCAAACGATGCAGGCCTCCAACGAAAGATTGTGCAAAGTCTGCGGGTCCATCAGAGTTTTGATCTGGACTTAAAGGTGTAGGCTTTCGGGTGTAGGGCTTCCGGGGTTTAGGGTTTAGAGGTTCTGGTGTCCTTCGTCTGCTGCCTCCTACGCCCCCAAAATCCTGCCGGCAAGCCCTTGGCAGGGCCCAAAACTCAAGACTCAGTCGCTTCGAGCCTTCCTGAACTCGACTCTTCTTGGAGGATCATGGGAGTTAGTAAGTAAGGTTATGAGTCCCCTAATTGGGGTTATAAGTATAGCTACCCTACTTATAACCCTACTTACAAAGTCCCATGATCCTTTAAGTACCCTAAACCCTAAACCCTAAACCCTACTTACTAAGTCCCATGATCCTTTAAGTTAGGGCGCCTTCAGACATCCAAGAGGGTTTGGGTGGTACACTTTACGGGGCCTTGAGAATTGGAATGGGAATCTACCTTAAGAACCCAAAACCCACCTTCTTTGTAGGTTCTTATTAGAAACCCTAATTCGGGATTCATAGGGACCCTACAAAAAAGTAGGTTTTGGGTTCTTAAGGTAG